TAGTTTATTTTATTATTAATACTTAAAATAGCAATAAAATACTATAATAAGCGTATAAAGAAGTTAGTAAGTAGATATTATATTTAGAAGCTAGCTAGAACTTATAAAATCTTTTTATTAAGCTTACTATTATTACTACTTTTTATTACTATCTTTATTTATAGCTAGCTTTAAAAGCCTTTAAACTAGCTTTATTATAATAATATAAAGAAGAAGGTATATTACTAAATAAGCTTATTAATATCTAAAAATAAAATCTATATATAATAATAAAAAAAGTACTTATTATAGCTTAAATATTAATTTATACTTATCTTTTTTTATAGAAAGTTAAAGAGCTAGCTATAAGTATTTTTAATATAAAAATTAATAAGAAAAAGCTAGCTAATAAATAGTATTTTCTATAAACTTATAATATAGCTATAAAAAAAGATATTATTTAAAGTCTTAATTAATAGCTTAAGATTTAGCTTATTTTTAAGCTATAATATATAACTAGCTAGATAAATAGAGTATAAATTATAGCTATTAAAGTAATTTATCTAATTTATATACTATAGCTAGTTAGTTATTTTATACTTATAAGTATTATTTTTAAGTATTTAAAGCTATTTTTTCTATTATTAATCTTATTTATAATTTTATAATAGCTAAATACTAGCTATTAGCTAAGCCTGCTATTTTTTTTTTAGCCTTCTAGTTTTTATTATATTTTTTAAATTTTTTAGGTATATAGCTATTACTACTACTTTTATTACTATAGTTATAGTAGCTATCTCTTTTTTTTTTTTCTTTTTTTTTTTTTCTTCTTTTTATTCTTTTTCTTTTTCTTTTTCTTATTATTAATTACTACTATTACTACTACTACCTTAGCTACTATAATAGCTACTACTTAAAAGTATTACTACTTCTACTAAAGCCTAGTAAAAAAAATCTAAATCTTAGCTTAAAATTAAAAGCTATCTTAAGTCTAGCTATTATTTATTTTATAGGCTTAGCTATAATATACTTTATATTACTTTTAGTTAATAATTAAAAAGTTAGAGTATCTTTAACAGGTAAAGTTATAATAAATTAGTAGCTTAATAATAGAAGTAATAAGCTTCTTTAGTAGTAGTAGCTATCTTTTTATTTCTACTAGCTCTATTACTATTTATAGCTACTATTAACTTAACTCTATAAGATTCCACCTCTAATAATATTAAAAAAAAGCTTAATAAATAAGCTAGCTAAAATTAGTATATTCTTACTATAAATAACTTTTAAGATTAGTAATTATATAGCTATAGATTTTATAAATTAAAGCCTAATAGATAGAGTAATATATTAACTAGGTATAATTAGTAGTAATAATAGCTAGCTTTAGCTGTAACTATAGCTATAAAAGTAAAAGTAGATTTTACTATATAATATAATAAGAATAAAAGAAAAGAAAAAAAGAAAAAAAGAATAAAAAAAATAGAAGAAAGAAAGAAAAAAAGAAAGAATACTAAGAGATAGTTATCTTTTTATTTTTACTTCTTTCTCTTTCTTTTCCCTTCTTCTTCTCTTCTTCTTTTAATTAGCTATATATTAATTATTTTATAGTATTCTATTATCTTATAGTATTATATAGGTAAATAGTTATTTTATAGTATAAAGTATTATAAAATAACTAAGAATTTACAGTTAGTTATTAAATAGCTAATTTAATTTAATATATATCTTTTTATACTAAATCTTAAATAATATTAATAACTCTACTTTAATTACTACTACTATTAATTATACTTACTCTATAACTCAGTTTATACTTATTACTATAATAGCTAATACTACTTTATTCTTTTATAATAAGTTTATATATTCTTATAACTAATTATAGAGAATATTCTATAAATACTTTATTTACTCTACTTACTTTAACTATAAGCTTAGCTTTACTTTTATATTAATAGTATAAATTTCTTTTTATTTTTATTTCTTAAATTACTAGGCTTACTTATAGTGGATTTATATAAAATAGTTTATTATATTAACCTTATCTAACCTTTAATAAACTTAGCTAACCTTAAATTATCTACTAGTAGTATAAGTTAGAAAAAACTACTAATAATAGATACTAGTTACTTATAGTATCTATTAGTTCTACTTTAATCTCTTTACTATATTCCTCTTAGTCTTTTAATTATTTAACTAATTATACTCTTTCTTATAATAGTCTTATATTCTATATACAGTTTAAATTATAAAATTATATTAGTAGTAATAGTTACTATTAGGCTATAGTAATATAATTTATAGAATTAAATTAGTAGTAAGTAGTAGATATTAAAATCTGTATAATATTTCTTAATTTTATATTATATTCTTAATTTACTATATAGCTATTATAATCTCAGTTTACTATACTATTAAAATATTCTTATAATACCTTCTTATATAATTATATACTTTCTTAGCAATATATCTATACTTATATACTTTATATATATAAAATAGATATTGCAAAATATATATAAATAGCTTTATAATAATGTTAATATTACTATAATATTTATTTATTATACTTTTAGCTAGTATTAATTAATTTTAAAATGGATTTTTATTTTACTTTTTTTATTTTTACCTCTATTTTTATTTAAATCTTCTTTAACTTTTTTTTTATTTTTTTATTTTATTCTTTCTTTTTAATATAGTAATTTAATAGGCAGTTAAATATAGTAAAATAATATACTCTATCTTTTATACTAGAATATATTTATTTTAATATATAATTTTTATATTAGTAAAAATTATATCTAGGTATTTTAGAATAAATATAAATATTATAAAAAATATCTTTAATATTACTATATATTAATAAATATACTATAAACTTTTTATTTATTTTAATAATAGAAATATTATTAGATTTAACTTTTATTTTTTTATTGGATTTTATTTTATATAATTATTATTATAATTTTAATTTAAATAAAAGCTTTATTAAATTTAACTTTAATTTATATTTCTATTAGGTTAGTAATTAATTTTAATTAATTTAATATTATATTGTATTTTTATTTTAGTTTTTATATTAAAAATTAGAAAAAGTATATTACTTACTTATTTATATTACTTACTTATTATATATATTATAAGTATATTAAAAACTCTATATAAATTAATTATATCTTTTAATTTATTTAATTTTCTTTTAAATTCTATATTATTAATATTATATTATTTAAGTTATATCTAGCTTATTATATATTCTTCTTTAGCTTATTTAATAGCTTTTACTTTAATAATAATAATAGTAACTTAATATATATTACCTCTAATAAGATATTATTACTTTTTCTTTTTAATATTAAAGTAAATAATAATAATAATAATAGTAATTTAAGTTTATATTCTCTTTTATATTTCTTAACTATAATAAAATAATTAATTCTTCTTTTAGTTATAAAATATATCTATAATAAGTATATTCTTTATAATAATTTTATAATAGCTAGTTATAGTAATAAGTATTTAAATTATTATATTATAAGTAAAAAATTAAGCTTTAATTGTAATTATAGTAATTAAGTAAATATACTAGCTATTTTATAAAGCTTATAAAAAACTAAGTTATAATAACCCTCTTCTATTTATTATATTATAATATTATTATTCTATACCTTAATATATAATTATATATCTTTACTAGCTATCTTATTATAATATTATATTACTTTTATTATATAGATAAATATAGCTTTATATACTACTAGCCTTTAATTCTTTATATATATTTTTACTAGGCTTTATTATTATAGCTTCTTTATTTTTTATATTATATATTAATAGTAACTTAACTATTATATATAGCTACTTATTCCTTATTTAATATAGCTTTTTATATAAATAATTCTTCTACTACTTTATACTGCCTACTAATAGCAGATTTTATATTTCTAGTAAATTATAATTAATACTTTATATTATATATAAATTGTTAATACTATTATTTATTATATATATATATATATATATATATATATTATCTATTTTATTTTTCTCTATTTATATCTATCTACTTACTTACTTTTTTTCTTTGTTTTCTTTTTCTTTTTATATACTTAACTCTTTTAAATATAATAAACTACTATATAATTACTTAATTTAATATAGCTTAGAATTATAGGCTTCTTTACTATCTAATTATTATTAACTCTTTTATCTATTTCCTTTTTTATTCTACTATACTAATTTCCAACTACCCCAGTCAGGTTATTTCCCGCCCGATAACTACTATTATAGTACCTTTAGGGTACCCTTCTTAATCTAAAGAGCCCGCTATTATTATAGCTAGTTAGATAGATATAAGCTATAGTAGGGTGCTTATTCCCAGTAGTAAGTAAAGGGAACGGGGTATATTTCTAGGGATAATCTTATTCAGGGCATTTGGAATGCGTAACGGGGCGCGTTCTCCAACTGGGTCCCAAGGACGGAATGGGGTGCTGTGATTGGCGTGCACACAGGAACGGGGCGCGTTCCGTTCGACAACTCGGTAGTAGAAGAGTAGGGATGAGAATAGGAGACTCTCGACAAACTCGCAAGTTGATAAGCCAAGCCGATGTAGACTCGGAAAAGAGACAGCTCGTAGAAGAAACCCATCGATTACATAGCGACCAACAACAGATCTGGAGAGCGGGGGTCTATATCCCGTCGGCCCGTTCATCCATTCATCCCGCGAGCCACTCGGCCACCTCGGCGCCCCAAGTCAACTTGCGGTGGCGTTGATATCAAAAAGCTACGGCAAGCCAACGCCAAAACGAGACCATGGACGAGTGCCATTTACACGGGCTCCGACTACTCGTCATCATCACAGGACATCCTGGCATTGGGGCGGGATGTTGGATCGCAGCGGAGAAGTGGCCGATATCGAGAATTCGAATCATCTGGAACCTAGTAATTGCGATTGTTGAAAACAATGCTGAGAGATTATTCCTAACTTCATAACGCTGCCGCATAACCGAAGCTTGCGGACTTCATAGTCTGAGTCCTTCAGATTTTGGTCGAATTAGCCTCGCATCAAGCTGTCGTTTCCTCTCCAGCCTGGCGTAAAGCAAGCCACAGGCATTGCAAAGCGTCCTGGCGCCGTCCGGACCGCGCCTCCACTCTGGTGTGTCGACCCTATTACAGCTATGGCATCTACCTGGGGTCGCAGCTAACTGCGTAAAATGTAAGCTTTGCATCCTTCACCATTCTACACCAAACGTACCTTTCCCCGCTTCTTAAACTTAATGGTGCTGTGTCGAGGCATCATCCCATCTCCGGGCTCGCAAGGACCCTCTATTTTCGCTCTCCCATAATGCCTCTGGGTCTGGATCCCCGTCTGCATCAGATCTCTCACTTGCTCCAACCAACGCTTGGCGAGTTCGACGTTTCTAAGCATATCGTCGACCTTTCGTTCTGTCGGCAGTCTTTCGGGAACAGAGTATGCTCCGTACTGTTCTGGGGCGATTCTGCTGTAGGCCTCTGCAAAATTGAGAATCTTTCGTGACGAGGTTGCAAGCTAGACTATATCAACGAAATCCCATATTCAAAGTTCGAAATAGACGAAACTTACCCAACTCAGCGAGTCCTGATAGATCGAGCTCTCAAAGTGCCCATTAATAGTGGCATTGTATCTGGCTCGAGCACAGTAATCTCCCTCCTTAGCATGAGGCACTAGATCTGAGGTCATACTGCCTCGGAGCGGGGGTAAAATAGCGTGTTGAGTGGAAATGGAATGCAAAGGCAGTGGGAACTGCCCAGGAGGTAGTCGATCCCGTTGATAAGATACCAGAGCTGGTGGTGGTGGAGGGTGCGCATACACTCCATTTAATTGATGAGAAGGCCGGGGAGGCTTTCGCTGCTCCGGGAAACGAGGTGGACGGGGTATGTCTGGCTTTGATGACGGGTTTGGGTGTCGGTCTGAGGCTGGTGATAGAGATGGAAGATTGCTGAAAGGGGGCCTCAGCGCGTCTGAGGTCGGCAAAGTATCCTGTCGGAGGGAAAATGACAAAGCCAAATGCGGAGCTTGGGGAGACGAGTGCTTCTTAGCTTCGGGGTATGGGCGAGGAGCAGGTGCAAAAGGTGAAGGTAAGATGGAGTCGGGCTGTATGCTAGACGATGGTGTGGGAGGATAGGAAGAGGGCATGGCGCCTGAGATGAACTCGAGGATAGGTGGCAGCGACTGGCAATTCGAATATTCGCCGTTGTCGATCGGCTTTTGGGGGTTTACCCAGGAGATCCTTTTGGAGACACTTGACATCCGAGGCAGGATGCGAACAGCCGGCGAGGAAGACGGCTGAGGTCGGACGACGGAGGTTGCTGTGAGCATTTTGGGAGTTTTGAGGGGATTCGGCCAAAAGAAAAAAGATTATGATATAGCTATTGTTTCTTGAGGTTGGAAGGGGGAATTTGTGTCGATATAATTACCGTGAGGGCGGAGGGCGTTTACTATAACTGGTGCGGGACACAGATGTACGCCTCAGCCTCCAGGGCTTCGGTTTAGGAGTTTAAATGAAGGTTCTCTAGAGGTAGCCGCTTGCTTTTGCCGGACTAGTTGGGGTCCAACAAACCTAACCCGTTGGGACTCATTGCCATTGCCAAAGGGCTTCTAAAGGCGTAGGGCGCTCTGTACCTGGTTCCGCTGCAGGTCCCGCTGCAGGAACAGACAGAAACTTACATACGCCGACACGCGGATCCTACTAAATAGAAACCACTAGTACTTGATACTGGATACTGTCGCGACGGCTAGGCACTTAACACCAAGTGTACAGTGCTAGCTGATGGGAACAAAACGCCAGATCCGGCCCGATACAGTACCGGGGTGCTTGTGCTTCCAACTGCTGAAGATGGTCGGGCCCCAAACCCCCCGTCTTTCGTCTTTCGTCTTTCGTCTTTCCCTGCGCCGATCAGAAATGCATCGCTGCACTCTGGTTCGTTGCACTCCCTCTGAAACGCGCCCATCCTCCTATCGGCCATCATGCATGTCACCCGGTCACTATTTAAGCCCCGGAGATGCATGTCCAGATGGACAAATCTCACCCTCACTCAGGCGAAGTGTCGGGCACACCCAACGCTATCGCCAGAACCTTCCCTCTTCCCTCTTCCCTCTTCCCTCTTCCCCAAGCCATGCCGTGACATGGACAAATCGGTCGTCTTGCATTCCCCCGGCGACGCATTCAGCTAAACAAATCAGTTGTGGCGCCGCGGAACCTAATGACGACTACCAGTATTGTGGTAATGTGGTCGGCCGCAGCGCATCCATCCCCTTGGAAGATCGGCGAGTTCAGCTCAAAGCAAATACAAAGCAAATAGTGTAAGCCTTAGCGTGCGGTATCCGTGTCCCACCTCCCATTCAATGTCAGCATATTACAGCGCCGAATGCGTGAAGCGCCGAATAAAGGCTGAGTTTGGCGAATGGGGGGTGGCCTTTCATCTCCGCCACGTCGTTGTAGGCTGGTCGTGTCGCACAACGAGCGCCACCAGCGGCTACCAGTCATCAGAAACCCCTCCCCCCCCCATCGCCAGCGTGGCATATCGTGCGGCAATCCGGAGATGACACAAGTCGGGGTGACACAAGTCGGTGCTGGCCGCTCTCGGATCAGTAACCTAGCTGAGACTTGGCTGGCGGGCTGAGGCGCTAAGTATGGGGGAACACCTTGAATACGAGGCCTGGCCAAATCGCGTTAAGCCCTGCATCATCGCCTAAGACCATCGTTGCTTTTTCGCGACCACGGTGAATAAAAAAAAAGTACGTATGTTGATATGCAGAAGAGTAGGGGTACGGTTGTTGCGAGGAGGCTGCGTTCCAGCCCAACAGTGTTGGATAGCCTATTAATAACGTGATTCAGTATGGTCCATAGTCTAGTTACTACTTATACTAACATGGTTCGTAAGTGGATGCCACATGAAAGATAATCGATCTGCTTCGAGGCGTGCCCGCCTGCTCCGGGGTACCAATGTGACACGATGCCTCCATGCCTAAGTTGGGCGAGCTGCATTAGCCTCGACCTTTCCGGATGATAGTTTCCCTCCATGACAGCCGACAACGATCTGTCAATGTTTCACACGTTGGCCCGTCTCCCCGAGCTATTGGGCTTGCCGCTATTGAGACAAATCGACAAATCGGGAGAAACATGTCTCCTCCGTCAGTGCGCAAGCCGCAGCGACAGGGGGATGAACGGTGATAACCACCGAGAGTGGACGGCTCTCAGCGCCGCCCCCCGAGGAAGATTCGACTGCGGCATCAGAGCTTGATGTGGGAGCAGGAGGAGGAACGAAGCACGTCAGGATGAGCGACTGTCACCCAGCTAATTGACGCGGGCGCCATCGCACATCTCATGAGAAAGGGTGCCACTGGTTGGCAACTCAAAGAGAGTTCAACACAGCGGATAGGCATGGGAGGGGGAACTAGATGCCTCCACTTCCTTCCCACAACTCTCTGCCCAATCGCACACCCGTATCGCATGCCTCGAGTACCTCTCGCTTCCTTTCGGGGAAGAGGCAGGGCGGCTTGGAGGAGGATTCGGCCGATGACGACGTCGTTGTGTACACCATCCCGGGTCTTATCGTGCGTGACCAAGCCTATCAGCCGCATGTCGTATCCTTCATGTCCGCTTTCTATCACTCTCCTCATGTTGTTCACTGACTCCTTTCCCCGTAGGATATTGCCTCGAGGCCTGTCTACCGCCGATCAGTTTCGGAGACATATACTGCGAGGCATATGCGGTTCACGTGTGCAGGCAAGGCGGCAGGCTTCCTCGATCATCGCGCCATGGTCCATCCACCAGAGTTAGAGCGTGATTTCATCTTTATCGTTGTACCGGACACTTGGACCTTCTATGATAGAGCGAGTTGGGATGCGGTAACTGTTTCTCCCTCGGCGCCCATACTAGCGGAGCAACCACGCCCAGATCCCCACGCCAAGTTCCTAAAACGGAAAGCCAAGCAGGGTCGGGACGTGTCTGTTAAGATATATTACGCAAGGCCTACGCATGCTAGGCTTGGGGGGGAGTGTTACGGACCACAAGGTCACATGGAAGACTCATGAAGGGTCAAGCTCGATGCCGGACCCCAAGATGGAGCCGCGTAGGGCTCATGGGAATGCCACCACTGTATTTAGCCTGTGAGGATACTGCTAGCAGCTAGAATTGACCACCGATATATCTCTCACAGTCCAGACCTGTTGCGGCGACCTCGTAACACCAGTGCTAATCATAAATACAGTAACTATTTAATAATACTTATACACTTAAACTTAAAGTATCATTGCCGCCAGCTTTACCTTATTATTTTACGGACCTTTACACAATAAGATATACTGTAGAAACCTAACAATAATTCAGCACTCTACTTACGAACCAGCAGCCCTTAAACATTAGAAGGTGGAACTGACAATAATACGGAATCGATAATGCAGAAGCGGCCTAATGTATTCACCCAGTCGGCCAGCGTCACGCCAAGCCTGACTCTATTGGCCTAGGAGAGGAGAGAGATCCAGACTTTACAGGTTTGTGCAGTGCAAGCGAGCACTACAGGCCTCGGACTATGCAGTACGGTATCCAGCTTCATTCCCCTATCAAAGTTATCAGTCAGGCACAAGTACATCGCTTGCAGTTCACAGTATATGCTTGTTTAGCTAATGACGTCCACATTGTCCCATGTCCTTTGCCACGCCTCCAATCTCACTTAGTTTCTTCCTCCGATTGATTAGGGAATTTTCTATATTACCCAAGTTATAATATCCTACTATTTTTCTTATAGCCAATCTATATTCTATACCCTCGCCAGCCTTGCTTCCCTTTTTACAGTATCTCAATTCCATATATATATGTCCCGTCTGCTTTACTTACTAAAGCTAATACCTACGCTGTCTCTGCCTTCTTCTTAAGATACCGGAGCCTCGCCACCTATAGACCCCGCCTCCTGGACTGTATACTCCACGTATATAGTAACGGGCGAATCCACCTACACCTTACTATTAATATTCTTCCCTTCCAAGATGGGGGATAGTATCTAAGTAATAGGAGACGTGGGCGCCGAGGCGGTTATATCGACTGCTCCTGCTGCGCTGATGACGCTCTGGATAACTTAGAACTATTTTTAAGTATTAGCTGCTATATAGGCCTTAAAGCCTAGCTTGAAGAAGCCTATTAGCTTGCTGCTTATTATCTTAGTTTTATCTTTACTCTTAATAATAAACTTTTCGCTACTGGGTATACTAATAATAGCCTAAGAGAGGTAGATAAATAGCTCTAGCTTGAGGTCTTAATAGATATTATCTAAGTCTTTAAATTTATATAGAAACTTAGCTAGTATAATAATATAGTAGCCTATTAAGTAGCCCTATAAAAGCTTATTATATAACTTATACTTAAGTAAACTCTTAATTAGGAGTTTTATTAATAGATACTCTATATTAGAAAATTAAATAGCCTTGATATTATATAGAGGCTTATTAGAGCTATTAAGGTAGTTAGTATTATAAAGTTTAAAGTATATTTACTTAAAGTTAGAAGGGATATACTAAACGGCACTAAATATATTATTATATAGTATTTAAGTCTTCTTTTTCTATTAGCTAGTAAGGTAGATAAAGGCCTTTATAGCCTGCTAGATAGCTCTAAGAATATTATAACAGGTAGTTAGGGATACTTAGGCTAACTAGTTGCTAGTGGGGATATTTCTAGGGTGACTTAGATAGAGTTAAAAGGGGAGGTTAGTACTGTTACAGGGGAAAATTATTGTCTTTTTCATTTTTATTAGAGATTCTTTCTAGAAGTTAGAGAGGCTAGAAGAACTTGAGGCTGCTAGGGAGTCTATTAATTAATTGCTTTTATTTTTAAGAGATTTATTTAAGCCTTCTTGCTATTACTATACTTTCTATCTAATTTCTATCTTTAACCTTCCTTAGATATTAAGCTACTATAGGCTCTATTAATATCTTACTAGCAAACTTTCCTATAACTAACTTAATATTCTATCTTATAAGATACTTTTCTATTAGGAGATATAAGCCTTAGATTAATCCGACCTTATATATATAATCTGGTGTAGCTTCGGGCTAACCGGCTAAGATGCCTATATAATAACTCTCTGTATATTTCCCCTAGGGTAAGTTAATAAGTTAGATGTTATTTTCTGTTCCTTCTTGCTGCTAAAATATAAACCTTAAAGATAGAAAAGTTATTCTACTTAGTAATAAGATTATTTTAATAGTTATTTTTAGTAATAATTTAGAGTCTTGCTATTTATACAGCTTTA